CCCGACGCGCCTTCAGGTTTGTTTCCGGTCGGGGGGCCCTCGGGGCCGCTCAGAGATTTCGGCGCGACAGTCCGCGGTCTGTCGGACGAGCTTCTCAGAAGGTCCTTTACAGTGGACTGAGTGATCAGCTTTGCCCTGGGCAAGCATGGGCGTCCTTCGCTCAGAGGCCAGGCCGAAAACGTGGCTTCCGGATAGAGCTGGACATATTGACAGAGTAGAATGGCGAGCCGAGTGGATGCCCTGGCAAGTGCGCGCGCTGCTGGGATTGCCAAGCTTGCCTGGATTTGCGATGTAATTCCCTGGGGCGCACCCCTCCTGATGGCCCGCTTTGCAGGTTCGTGGCTTGCCGTCCAAGTGCGTATTCGCTTGGAACCGTCGTGCGTGTGGTTTTTTATTCATATGGAACGAGAATCATGCTGTATTTGGCCTATCGTCGCCCGCTGTTGCCGCAGGTCGGTGGCGAGGCCGCGCCGTCGTGCCATGCGAGGACGCGGCGCGCCTTTGGCGACGCGCCAGGGGGGGAAGACAAACCGCTTCCCGAGGCTGTCGTGTAGCGCTCCCGGGGCGCTTTCGGGCGCTTTCGGGGCCGTTTTGGGGCCGTCTTGGGGCCCTGTTGGGGCCTTCCTGGGGCGCTGTTGGGGGCGTCCCTGGGGCCTCTTGGGTCGTGGAGGGCGTCGTGGGGGCCAACGGCTACTCTTGCTACTCTTGCTGTTCTTGAGTAGTGCCAGTACCAGTGGTAGTACCAGTAGTGGTAGTAGTCGTAGTGGTGGTGGTGGTAGTAGTAGTAGTAGTAGTAGTAGTAGTAGTAGGAGTAGGAGTAGTAGTAGTAGTAGTAGTAGTAGTAGTAGTAGTAGTAGTAGTAGTAGTAGTAGTAGTAGTAGTAGTAGTAGTAGTAGTAGTAGTAGTAGTAGTAGTAGTAGTAGTAGTAGTAGTAGTAGTAGTAGTAGTAGTAGTAGTAGTAGTAGTAGTAGTAGTCGTAGTAGTAGTCGTAGTAGTAGTAGTAGTAGTAGTAGTAGTAGTAGTAGTAACGTAGTAGTAGTCGTAATAGTAGTCGTAGTCGTCGTAGTAGTAGTAGTAGTAGTAGTAGTGTAGTTTAGTAGTAGTAGTAGTAGTAGTAGTAGTAGTAGTAGTAGTAGTAGTAGTAGTGGTAGTAGTAGTAGTAGTAGTAGTAGTAGTAGTAGTAGTAGTAGTAGTAGTAGTAGTAGTAGTAGTAGTGGTGGTAGCAGTAGGAACATTTATGTTACTACTACCATCAGTGCTACTACTACCAATACGAGTACCACTATTCTTAGTGATATAGTCAAAACTACCACCACTACTGCGATGACAAGTATTATTATTACTCCTATCGCTACTTCTACAACCACTACGCTTGCAACCACGACCAGTACTATTACGACTACCATGACGTCTACGTTTGTTCAGTCTTCGGCTGCTACTGTTACTAGTGTTCGTATGACAATGTTTTCTACGACTGCTAGTGCGACTATTACTATTGCTTCCACGACGGCGACTACTACTATTACTATTACTACTACTACTACTACTACTATTACTACTACTACTACTACTACTATTGCTACTACTTTTTTTTAGCACTGCTACTACGAGTACTATCAGTACGGGTACCATTACTATTACGACTCACCTTCTACTCTTGCTACTTCTTCTATTCACTGCGACTACTACTACCACTACGCCTACCACTACAATTGCTAACACTCCAGCTGCGATTTTGTATGAATGCTATTGCTACTGGTGCCGCTATGATTACTATGACTACAACGATATTTTTCTTATTGCTACTACCACTAGTGCTACTCGTCGTTCCGCGACTAGTACCAGTACTATTATTGCTACGCTTTCTTCTTCTATTGTTACCATTATTATTACTGCTACTGGTGCCCCTACTACTACTACTACTACTGCTACTACTGCTACTACTACTACTACTACTACTACTACTACTACTACTACTACTACCTACTACTACTACTACTACTACTGCTACTACTACTACGACTGCTGCTACTACTACTACTACTACTACTACGGCTAGTACGAGTAATACGATTATTGCGATTATGCTTGCTACTATTATTACTACTACTACTACTACTACTATTACTACTACTACTATTACCACTACTACTACTACTAAGCTACTACTGAACTATCACTAATACTACTTCTACTACTACTACTACTACTACTGCTGCTACTACTACGAGTGCTATCGCTGCGGGTAGTAATACCAGGGACATGATTACCATTCGTATTATTAGTGCCCACAGTGCTGCTACTACTACTACTACTACTACTACTACTACTACCACTACTACTACTACTACTACCACTACCACTACTACTACTACTACTACTACTACTACTACTACTACTACTACTACTACTACTACGACTACTATTCTTCCTGCGACTAGAACTACTCATCCGATTGCTGCTGCTGCCAATTTGAATCCGCGTTCTTCCTCTCCCCACACATCCTCCTACTACCAGTATTACTATTACTTCTACTGCTTCTAGTATTATTAAGCCTGCTAGCTGTACTGCTCCTACTGCTCCTGCTGTGAACTATCCCCAGTACCGCTTCTCTGCCTACTACTTCTGCTAGTATTACTATTAATGTAGCAGTAATAGTCTACTACTACTAGTCGTATCCTTACCTCCGCCACTACTACGACTACTACTTCTCACCATTACCGCTACCATTATTATCATTATTACTGCGACTGGCCCCTCACAAATACAAGTATGTCCACGAAGAGATGGTTCTCCGGGCAAGCGAGGCTAGATTGATGCGAAGTCCGCTGCGGCGCCTTAGGAGAGTGCGCCCTCGTTTGCGAAATTGAAGTCCGACAACTGACCAAGGACCCCGGATGAGGTCTCGCCCAGAGAAGCGACCTTCCCCCCAGAATGTTCAGAAACCCATCGGGACCCAGAAGTCCACCCGCAGAACCATCTTCTTTCCCAGGGAACCGAGGCTTTTCCTGGAGAGTAACCCCCTCGCGATTCCCCCCCCCTGCAGGCATGAAAACCGCACTGCGGCGCTCTGGGGCGCTCTTGGACCGATCTTGGTTGCTACTGGGGCCGCCCAGGGGTCATGCTGGCCCCCTCTTGGATTTCTCTTGGGCCATTTCGTGGCCATTTTCGGGCCCCAAGGGCGCACCGGAAGCGAAGAGGTGAGAAGGCACACATCATTGATCATTTAAGTGTTTGGAAAGGTTTTGGCTTCTTCGAGGGTTCCTGAGGGGGCCCCGAAAGCACCTGGATCCGTCTTGTGGCTCTCGTCGGGCCTCTTGGAAGCAAGTCGGAAGCTAGCTTGCATTATCTTCGGTTGATCCGCCTGAGAGGCCATCCTGGAGCATCGGAAGCCTGCTTGCAACCATCTGAGGGCGACTACAGCCCTCCAACACATCGCGGCCCGCCTCAAAACACCTCCGGGAGGGGAGGGGCAGGTGCGCCTCCCGGAAGGGAAGAAGGAGGAGGAGGAGGAGGAGGAGGAGGAGGAGGAGGAGGAGGATGAGGAGGAGTATAAGGACCCCCTCCCCCTTCAACCGATGGTGGCGGTGGTGGAACACACGCCCCCCATTCGCTGTCCCATGGGCATCGTCAGATCATGCTGATACTATGTGTGCGTCGCCCCCCCCCCCCCCACGGGCGACGCGCGCACCGAGAAATCTCATGGTACGTGAGTCGTGGCGGGCGCTTTCAAGCCACACCGCTCGGGAAAAGATATCTACTGCAATGTTGGTTTGCTACATGTTCGGGTCGGACGCGCGTCGCCAAGGAGGACACATCGTACTATGATATTTTTCTGCGTCCCATGGGCTTGGCGCCCACGCGCCAAGTCCATGAATCTGGGCGCGGGGTCCTGTATCGGTGAGGTCCTAGGGGTGTCAAACGTTTCGTTCGCCGAAGTGGTCTTTCGGGGGGGTCTCAATCGCGTCGTTTGGGCGCGGCCATGTGGGGGAGTAGCTTTCGAGGCAGATCGTCCCAGACGGAGCGGGGGTCTCGAATGGCTCGTCTGGGAGGTTGATGACCCCCTCAATTATTATCAAATTCGGAGCAGTGTCCGAGCACTTGTTCGGCTTCAACTCCTGGGAGGTCGAATTCTGATTTTGCCCTGGTCCGAAATCCGGTTTTATCTGGCTTAGAATCCCGCTTAATCTGGCTCATTCCGGCTCGATCCTGCTTTTAATCCCGCTTCATCCGCGGCCGAACCCGGCGCAGTAGCCCCCCAATGGGGCTTTTTTCCCCCCAGTGCTTCCGACGAAGACCTTCCAGCAGTTTCGCAGGCCTAGAGGTTGATGCCACCACCAATATCGGCGGTGTGCCTCCACCGCGGGAAGAAGGTTCTGATCTCGGTGATGGTGGCAATCTTCTGGCTTCCAAGGTACTCCAGATTTCGTAATAAAAGGGAGGGGGTCTGGACCCTCCAAGACAAGCCATTTCAGACCTCCCCCGTGGGAGAACTCTCCAACACATCGTCCCCAGACCCCCCAGGCCCTCCAAGATGGCCTGGAAGAGACCCCCCCCCGAAACGAGACCCCCCTCCCTCTATTACGAAATCTGGAGTGACCGACCTATTACCACCACCACCGAAATCTAGGATCATCTTCGAGGCAACCCCCTGTGCTGGTGTTGGTGCCGATTTCCAGTCCTCCAATATATTCGCTGTCTGCCTCTGGTTCCGGCGCGGTCTCCGCCGGCGGTTCGAACGCGCCGGCGTCCGCAATGCGCTGCCGGCCGCTGACCTGCCTGAGGTCGGGCGTGCCCCTCTACAGGAGGAATCTGCAAAAGGAGTAAGAAAATAATCCGGGGACGATTTCTTGATTCATTGTTTTGGGGGGGTTATTTTTTGAATCTATTCTTGGGGGGGTATCTTTTGATTGTTCGTCCAGAATCCGCCCGTAGGGGGACATGCCCGACCGAATTGCCGACCGCCGACCGCAACCTTGCCCGAGCCTTTTCCTCCCCAGGATCGTCCAGCTGCCGAGGCTGCTCTTCGGGGACCTCCCGATCCTCCTCCTGCAGGCGGGGCTGCTGCTCTCGAGCCCGGCGTGGCCCTGCGGCCTGCAGG